CCGCACGTCTTTTTCTTTGTGACCGTTTTTTAATTTTTTCTTTCGTTTCTCTTAGATGAATTCGGTTACTTTCCCTTTTTTTTTTTTTTTTTTTTTTGCAAAATAGCCCCTGCACAAGCCTCCCATCCCAGCGGTGGTGAGAGAACCGCCGGGCTGGAGGCTGTCGGGGTGCTCCATTTATTGGTGGGGAGCATCACCTGCTGGAAAACGGGTCCAGCGTCCCATTCATACATCTTTGTAACACAAAGTTCGCTGTTGTTTCCAGGGCCACGACCGAATCATGTCATAAAACCCCGGGCTCCCTTTTCCCCTCGGAGCTGCTAATGTTACCCAACCCTATGTGGAGCTAATTTGATGTCGACCTGTCCAAGTCTGCAGCCCCGCTAAAGTGAAGCCCTGACTTAACCCAAAACCCTGTGTCGTGCAGTTATCAGCAAAACCAATTTTGTAGATAAGCAGTATTTATTCGTATTTCAAACCCAAAACCCTGCGGTTGTCAAACCCCAAACCCTGTGGTTGTCATCCCTCAAACCCTGATAAAAACCCTAGTAGAACCCCTGACGTAAACCCAAAACCGTCTGTGGAGCCAGGGTTCGGGGGATTGTGGCCTGTACAGCCTGAAGGCCATCGGTGTATGCTACTTTCCCAAGTTTCCCCTATGTGTCATCGCTTGAAACTTGGGGCCCGGCCATTCAGCAGCGACCGGGCCTTCCCTTGGCCGACCCCCCTAAGGCTTCGGCGCGTATACGGGAAGGCCCGCGACCGATAGCTGGGCCAGGTACTGGTGGTTTAAGGCTAATTCCGATTCAATTACCTGTCCAATCTGGACAGGACAGCCTTTCAGGCCTTTTTTTATTGTCATTACACTATTACGGGGAACCCCGCAGCAGCCACATCCGTGCTCAAGCCTCCAACGAGGGAACATGCAGGAGCTGCACCCGCCAGCAGGTATGACACCTGCTACAGCAGGTGGGCGATACCGGCCAGGGGTCAGCCAGTAGCAACAGGACCGAGCTTCTTCGATGGGCCAGTCGCTTTGCCTCCCCTCCGGTCCCCTACCCCTACGAACATCAGCAGTCTCTGCTCAATGCCACTCGGGAGGACTGACGGCCTATCTCTAGGTGGCGGGTGCCAAGCTTGCCCGAAAAGTTTCATGAGGTTAGTGGGGATTGAACCCAAGACGTCCTGAATGCCACTTGGTTGCCTTACGACCTGAGCTAGGCCGCTGGATTCCATACGCTTTTCCGCACGCCCATGGAGTTCCGACCACCGTCGTCAACGCGAAGAGGCGGTGATACGACCTGCGGTCTACTCCTCGGTGGAATTGCTACCGCCAGTCAGGCTTGCCCAAGGGCAAGCAGCGGTAGGACCGAGCGCTAACGCGCCAGCCGGAGCGCCGTCCCAAAACCGGCCTCCCGGAGACGCCGACGTGTCCATGGGGGTATCTTTCCATTCCATATTGTAGCGACAAAAACTCCTGCGGGGGTATCTGTCCATATTCTAGCGGTATAATACGTTCTCCACTTCACACATTTGGGGCCTCGCTTGAGGTACAACATGCTAAATGTGTCTGGACGAGGTAACAGTCCAGAAATATGTTGTGTAGTTGTGTATGTAGTGGATTGAGGCCTTTCATGTGTAGGGCGGCAAGAGCCGAGTTGCAATTGCAAAGCGAAAGGAATGCCGCGAGGCGTGGGTCGTGCTGACGTGCTTTGCGGAATTCAAATCCGCGGGGCCGGTCTCCGTGGCAAATTGGAAAAGTTCTTTTCATATAGAAAAAAAATAAAAAAGTTCTTTTCGAAGAAGTCGAGCTGGCAATACAAACAGACGTTTTTGCACCCTTTTACCCTGATGCGGAGAGATCGGCGGGCGAAGCCGTGCGACAGCGGCGCGGCGTGGGCAAGTTCAACTGCCAACGGCGGGGACGGAAAAGGTGGAGGCGCGCGGGAGTTGGGGGGGGCGGGAGTGGG